ATGTCTTGATGTTGAAATAACAAGTACATGCATCATGAATCCTTCACTTGTCAGTCTTCTAAATCTCCCATAACCTCGTTGAGAGCTTCAATATCTGATTTCGACAAAGTGTTGTATTTGAATAAAAACGTAGACACATATTGTTTTAGCTTACAAAATTTGAAGCTAAATATTGTTAGTATTTGATATAATTTTTACCTAGGTCGGGGTATAAACTCAAAGTGACAAGAAGTCAGAAGGTAACATGTGAGACGATACCTACTTTGTTAAGAGAATGAAGAGCCTTGCAAGCTGGGTACACACTAGCTCAGCATCAGAGATATTCCTCAGTCGAGGTCTCTTGGTATACAGCCGACTCTGAGCATTGTTGTAACAGTGCCCAGCTCATTAAAGCATATGTTATGACTCTTTGAATGAACTCTAATCATGGCAGAGACGACTCTTACAACATAATAAATGGAGAGGTATATGAAGGATTATTCCTTTAAAGAAGGCATTTAAGGATGGAGATAGGATATAAAAGGGGAGAGAGGTTAATGAAAATGGATCATCTAACTCACAGAACAATACACAATATCCAACCATTTGCGACTCTCCCTGATCATTAGCAGAGAAGTTACATTTTTAGTGTTTTTAGCAAGAACAATATATATATATATATATATATATATATATATATATATATATATATATATATATATATATATATATATATATATATATATATATATATATATATATATATATATATATATATATATATATATATATATATATATATATATATATATAATTGTTAACATATTATCACGGTTGTTTAGAACAACCGTGGTGATATCTTTAACCTTTCGCTAGTTCAAATTTCAGCGTCGGTAAATTCGTGATTCTTCAATATCTTAGTTGCGCCTTACATTTTTATTTATTTTTAGATAAAAAAATAAAACGGACATCACCATGGTTGTTTTATCCAACCGTTGTGATATTTTTTCAATTTCAAAAGAAAAATTAAATGCTTAAAACCTGACGCTTTTTATAAAATTACTTTAACGTAAAACATATATCACCATGGTATTTAATCCAACTGTTGTGATGTATTTTTTATTTTTAAAACTTTTAAATGCTTAAAACTCGTGCTTTTTTAAAATAAAATTTCATTAAGTAAATCATATATCACAACGGTTGGTATAAGACCGTGGTAGAATGACTTATTTACATAAAGGAAACACATCTAGTAAGCTTGTCTCTTCAGTAGCATTTTTTCATTTCCATTAGCAGAACAACACCATTTTCATCCCTAAAAAAATAATATATTTTTCAATCCTAACGAAACAACACAATTTTCAACCCTAAGAAAATAACGCCATTTTCAACCAACAACACCATTTTCATCCAACTTCAACGTTTTTAGCTTACATATCATCAAGAAGAAAGACGACACCAACTTCGTCGTTCTTAGCTTAACAACCGTCGAGGAGCAAGACAAAGATTCTGACAACACTTTTTTACTTATTCATCACATTTTCTGTATGTAAACGATTTCCCATGCATCTATAGTAAACTTTATTTTCCATTGTGTTTGTGTTTATGCTATTGGTGTTGAAATAGTATACATGCTCTATGATTAGCCTTTTTATGATTTTCTACGATGACATGTGATCATAAATACAACCACTACTGCTAGTGTTGTTGCTTATGTAGTTGTGGATGTTGATATATCTAGTATATATGCTTGTGTGGTTGAAGTTTGTGTCTTGATGTTGATTGTTTATGCCATTTGTGTTTGCTAGCTTCAGAGCCTGAGTCTTAAGAGTCTGGATCTTCAGAGGTTGACTTTCTTAAGAGTCTAGTCTTAAGAAGTTAACCTCTTTAAAATAGGATGGTCAGGTTTTGATCCTTCAGATTCTGGTTCTTTCAGTTTTTCTTTAATGTTCAATTTTGAGTGCTAGAACTTAGTTTCAATGATAGAGTTTAGTCTATGGTTCTGCACACTTGAATAAACATTAATATATCCAATTATTCTTTAAATACTTTGTTATCATTAAAATCTTAGAGATATTGTATAAACTAATTTTGTTCTTACACATTATAGTCCTTGACTAAGACGATCTCTTTGTTGAGACGATTGTTGTAGTTCGAAACACTACTATAAAACGTGCATATTTAACAACACCAAATTCATCACGGTTTTCCCAAAAACCGTGGTGACATGTCTAAACTCTTGCGCTAACATTATTTATATATTTTTTAATTAAAATTATTAAGGGTATAATAACGGTTAGTGTTAATACCATGGTGATACAATGAAGCTTTCATGAGTTCGAACCTCATCACCCTCAAATAATTTATTACTTTGACGTTAATGCGCGACTTTTAATTTTTATTTATATGTAACTAAAAATGAACAGAGATATTACTACGGTTGTTTGTTAAAACTATTGTTACGCACATACGCTTCTTTATATATTTTAAACACTATAAGTATATATTTTTTCACTGAAAAAAGAAACAAGACGAAACAACCCTAACACCAACGCCGCCGTCGTCGTCGGGAAAGAAGACAACAACACTGACACATTATTCTCCTTTACGGTACGTAAAATATATTGTTGTTGTTTAGTTTTCTTTTAATGTCGCATTTGAAGACAAAGTCATTCAAAGGCGTTTCTATATCTTCTTCTTCTGTAAAATCTCGATCTGGAAATTTCTGTGTCTGTGATGGTCGTATGGTTTTGTACCAGTGCAAGAAGGGACAAAATAAAGGAAATCTTTTTTGGAGATGTCCCTTTTGGAGGAGTGATGAAACCTGTAATTTGTTCATATGGGATGAAGACATGGGAGAAAAAGGTGGAAATAAAGATGATAGCATTATGAAGTCAGAGTTGGAGATGTTCATTTTGAAGGTTATGTATGAAGATTCAAAGAAGAAGAACAATAATTTGAAGAATAAACTGAAACTAGAGAGATTATCTAGAAATTTGAAGATGTTATGTTTTCTTGTCTCCTTTATGTTTAATGTCCACTTTGTTATGAAATATAATAGTTGAAGTATCAATTAGTTATCTGTTTGTTAGTATATTAGTTGAAATGTAATAGTTGAATTCCATTGTTGATGTTGAAACTGCAGATGCATTGAACTTGACAGGAATGCAACTAAAAGATAGTTTTTTACGAGTAAGTTCATCGCACACTGTTGGATTTTCAATTAGTTATCTGATTGTTAGTATATCAGTTGACAGATTTAAGCTGGTAGTTTAAGTTGATAACCTTTCATTACATATAAAATGTCATTACATAAACTTTCATTACATGAAATTTCATTACATAAACTTAATCAAATCTAAATCCTCTGGCTGAGAGGAAGTTTGACCAATCATTGTTAGCATCATCATCATCATCATCATATGGGAAAAAAATCATATGCCTTATCAACCTTCTTTTTCTCCTCCTTCTTCTTCTTCTTCTCCTCACTCTGAGAGCTCTCAAGTACAATTTTGTTTCACAAGACCGACTTCTTTCCTCATCTTGATTCTGAGGATGGTTTGCACCACAACACCCTCTACAGCAACAACATCTTGATTCTCAGCATTGTTGGTAGGTTGAGAAGGAGAACTCATTTTGATTCCTTTGGATGAAGTTGATTTTGTGTTCTTCCGCTTTTATATTGTTTCTTCTGATTTTTCATCTTCTCTTGGAATTTGGAAAGATTTCACGCATGTCAAGCTAGTGTGTTCATTATTGGTTCTTTAATTCTATACGTTATCTCTTTTCTTGGAAGTTGGAAAGATTTCTGCCTACCTCAAACTGTTGAATGATTACATATTCTTATCTTTTTAAATTTCATTTTCTATTATTTGATATTCCTTCTTACGTATATTTTGATGTAATAATAGTTTTGATATCAGTTTACAAATGGTGTATTGCTGATTCTGGTATGATACATTTGAAATTTACTCATAAACAATATACAACGGTTATTACTCTTAACCGCTGTTATAGGGCGCACACAATTTAATTTATTACAACAGTTTCAGTACTGTGATTGTAAGTAAGGTATATACAACAACGCTCTATGTAATAACACCTAGACCTACGTGATTATATACCTAATTTAACCGTTATTAAAATCATTTTTCGTAGTAGTGAAATATGTTTGTTCTAATTTGATGGACTATGACTCCCAGTACTTCCTTAATATCCGAATATAGTTGAGACGTGGTGTAGTAGGAAATAACCTTTTTGACACAACTCTTCTTAAGATTTGATGGACTTGGTTAGAGACTTTAAACCACATCCTCTCCCTTTCCATTAGAGTTAAGGAGAATAGTTTTCTCTTAACCGGACCTTCGATATCTTACTAATCAAGAACTCCTTATATGTTCTCGAAGTATTTTTCTGGATCTATTTTGTCTATCATATGTGTACATCTTAGGTGATTCTTCAAGAGACCTAAAGATTGAAAAGCTCCTGATTTATTTGGTGAGCGATTCTTTAGTCGAGAATTTGCGATTTTCAACTATTATGTCCAGCTTATACTTTTTGTTAAAGCGATCAATGTTATCCAAACCATGTAAATAAATCTAGTTTATAGATATTGTTTGATAAACTAAAACAATTAAAAAAAAAAAGTAAAATCAATTTAAAACCCGTCTATAATAAAACTGGTTCATATGTAAATTGATATAATAAACTAGTTTTTCTAGAATTGATTTTCAGCCACTATAATTTTACGTCATAAAAAAAGTAAACCTCCGTTATAAGAAATCAATTTTATTTTCATTATAATTTTCAATCAGAATTAATTTTAAAATGTATTATTAATTTTTGATTTAATAACATAAGTTAAATTTTAAGTAGATGATTTTATAATATTAAAAAAAAAATCAGAAAATGCACACGAGGAAGTCACACGAAGAGAATGAAAAATTTGAAATACACCCGCTAAAATTTGAAAGCAAGGAGAGAGACGAAAACAGTGAAGCTTCTTCTCTAACTAACTAACAATGTCTTCCTCTCCAAGTTCTGAAGAACTAACCGTTGCATCTGCTTTGATTCTTCTTCACACTACACCACGGTAATTCATACGCTCTCCTTCATCATTCATCTTTCTATTCTCTTCCTTTTTAGATTTTCACTCTGATTTTCGATTTATTTTGCTCAGAAGGTTTCATTCAAGTTCCGTCTATGGAGTTTCTGTTGAAAGAAGAAGCATCACTAGCAAGCGTTTCAAAGAGAGTTCCGTTAGATCTTCAGCTTCGTCTTCGTTTTTGATCAACGGTGATTCTTCAGATCAGAGCGAAGAGATGAAGTCATATCCTGTTTCGTTCTTTTCTGCAACTCATCGTTATCATCAGATGAAGTTCAAGGTTGATTCTACTTTTTTTTTCTTTCTCTTTTTTGTTTTTTGAGTTTATTCTGTTACGATTCGTTGTTACTGTTCTTTGAATCCGTTTGAATGATCTAGAAAAATCGATGTAACTTGGAAATTTGAATTCAGATCTATGGAGATTTTGCTTGTTTTTCTGTTTAAATTGATTTCGTAATGTTCTAATAAAGTTGAATTCAAGCATGTTGATATCTTCGTTTTTGAATTTTTGGATTATTTTTCAGTTTTTGTGTTTTTGATGCTTTTGAATCTGATATTCTGATTAAACGATGAATTTTGGTTTCTGAAAGATTGCAAGGAAGATCAGGTCGAAGGTAATGTGGTCGTCGGCTTCCTGCTCCGGCGACCGTAAAGTGAAAACAGGCACCACTACGAAAGTTTCTCCGGCATCTGCTTCCGGAGAGGTTACGTCGTGTTTGTCAACCACCTCAAGCGCGCGAAGCTTGCGCTATGCTAACAGAAGCAGATCTGCGAGTGGAACAGAGAATGGAATCCAGCGCAAGACACCGCCTTCGGTGACTAAGAACCGCGTGAAGACTATCGCCGGAACGCCTCACCTTCATCGGCGAGGCGAAGCTATATTGAAGTTTCTCTCTCACGGCGGTTCTTCTGAACTGAGGATCCGTCAAATGCTTGGTGATAGCCCGGACACAAGCAAAGCTCTCCGAATGTGATATTCTATAGCTCTTTCTCTTACACCGACGCACGCACGAACGCACCTGAATCATAGATTTATTTTGTTTTCACAAAAATCAGAGGGAAAATTCGGTTACATTTATGATTCAAATTGATGTGTGCAGGTTGCTTAAGGCTGATGCAGTGAAAAGATCAGGCTCGGGCGGGCGTCATGATCCCTTTGTTTATATGGTATATTTACATGTTTATTTAATGTTCATTAACTAATTTTTCGGTTTGGTTTTTATAATATAATAAATTCAGTCTATAATCATATTAAAATAATGATTACTATAGATTAACTTGATACTTTACGGAGAAATACTTAGTTGACACAGCCCAACAAGTAAGCATTTGGGCGCACACACATAAATCTACGTATTATTTAAATATTGTAAAAATAAATATTATTTAATTGTTTCAATTTTTTTTTTAATTTCATCTTTTGTGTGAGTGTATCCAAATTTTGTGTCCAATCTTTATGCTCAAGCAAGACTTCCTCTACTTTATGATACTTTTAATTTCATCTCACAATTTCCTTTTCGTAAACAAATAACTTTCTGACAGATAAGTGGATGAAGTTGGCGAGAGAAGGTAAGCTAGATGATATATAGCTTATTTGCACGAAAAAGATTCAGGTATATATATCCCTATATAACAGGGAAATTTTGTCGCATCCCATTTATTATGTAATCATATATAGGTTTTTATGAGGTTCACTTATAAGATACTAGAACTTTATTGCTACAGTTGGAGTATATATTGGCTTAGTTTTTGCCACGCTCAAAGTTCAAAATATGTTTTATATTTCATAGAATGAATGCTTTATATTTTATAGAATGAATGCTTTAAATCTTGAGAGCGGTACAAAAGAAGAATGTATTACAAATAATGTCAAGTGAGTAACTCTTATCACCAACGAATCTATCTTCTATGGAAATGTTTGCTTGATTTGAACATTTATATTCAAACTTTTTTTTTTTGCGTAAAAAAGGAGGAATAGAAGCATTGTAAAGAATTGCGTCAAAAAAGGCAGTGGAAAAAAGTAAAAAAAAACTATTAAGGTAGAAAATTATCACTCATCAACCAATGTTGTAATATACAATTTAAGGGCACATTTTGCTTAAACATTTTCTATATTTATTTATTTATTTATTTATTTGTCATCTCTTTCAAAAATATATTTATAAACTAGTCTAGATTTGTTATGTATTTTAATCTTATAAGATAAAATAAATGTATGTGATTCTAACTATTGAAAATTAAAATAGATATTAATTAATCGAATTCAGTTGAAATAAAAATGGTGGTTCAATAATAATAATAATAATGATAATAATAATAATAATAATAATAATAATAATAATAATAATAATAATAATAATAATAATAAAAATAATAATAATAATAATAATAAAAATAAAAGTAGAACATCACCACAAATTTCTGTGAATAAAAAATGTGATCAAGAAAAAAATAATTTAAATTATTGACAAAATTGATAGATTATTCTTACATATTTATGACATAAGATGAAAGAATATATTAACAAAACTGACAAACTATAAGATCAATTTAACTAAGAAAAAAAACTCGAAGTAGTATACCATTATTAAATTGAGAAATGTTAACATGTGAACTAATTATATTAGAAAGAAAATATTGTTTTGCAAAATTGAATATGCATAAAGAACACTATAAATGTAAAATTTATTTTTGTAAATGATACATTTATTTTACAAATAGAATAAACATAATTATTGTAATTACTTTTAGTTTTTTGATAGGGAAATAAAAAGATTCTTTTTTTTTTGTTTAATGTTTTTTATAAATATTATTAATGTATAGTTTTACTAAAGTATTCTTATTCTTATTAATAATTATATTACAAGAGATCATTTTTTCTATAAAGAGTACAAAATTCTTCTACTAAATAATATATATTTTTGACAATAGTATAAATTAATCACTTAAAAATAAATCATCTTAATTAATATTAATTAATAATATAGTTGATATATATATATATATATATATATATATATATATATATATATATATATATATATATATATATATATATATATATATATATATATATATATATATATATATATATATATATATATATATATATATATATATATATATATATATATATATATATATATATATATATATATATATATATATATATATATATATATATATATATATATATATATATATATATATATATATATATATATATATATTAGGTCCGGCTCAATTAATTCATAGACTTTGTTTTAATTTAAAAAAAGTCTAAAAAATATGAATTTATACAAAGTTTTTTTAAAAATCAGTATAAAATCATAAATTTTGAAAATAAATTATGATTTTTTTTACTACAAAAATATATGTTCCCAACGACATATATTAGCGACGTGCTTATCACGTGGGTAGTAGCGACGTGATAACCACGTCGCTAATATATTTTAATGACATTTAATGCAAATTGGTGAACGTTTTTCAGGGGGAAATTTGAAATTTTGTAGCGACGTGATAGCCACGTCGCTATATTTTTTAGGGGAAAAATAATTTCGCTGATGACAGAGTTGCAGTGTTGGAGAGAGAATAGTATTTATGTTTAGTTTGTAGCGACGTGAGTATCACGTGGCAACGTTGCGACGTGACAGTTACGTCGCTACTAGAAGTTACATATGTTCAAAATTTTGATTTACAGTAGCGTGCTTTCTTCTTCACAAACCCAATTGTTCCTCTCAAACCCAATTTCCTTGCTCCTCTCTCAAACATTACAGCAACTTCCTCACAAACCCAAAATTGTTCCTCTCAAACCCAATTTCGCGAATCAATTTTCTTCCATTCCAATTTGTTGAAGAAATCTAAGGTATTCATATTTTGATAAATGTTTATTTCGTTTGTTCGTTATTTTTTATACTGGAATGAAATATTAAAAATGGTATTTGTTCGTTTGTTCATTATTATTTATAGAGAAATTTGAAGAACACCAAGAACTATCCAAGAAGACGCAAATTTATTGAAGAAATTATATAGAGGTATTTATGCATTTTTTTTTAAAGATTTTATATGTATTATATAGATTAGATTTGTATATGTATGTGGTTAGGAAGTATATATGTATATATTGTTAGTAGTATATATGTATTGATAATAAAAAATTTTAGAAAACATAAAATTAAAAAAAAAAAATTTATAGATGTATATATATATATATATATATATATATATATATATATATATATATATATATATATATATATATATATATGTTAACAAATATATTTGTTCAGATTGCATATTTTTTAATAACATATTTAATATATTTTTTAAAAAATTTTAGAAAACATAAATTTAATAACATATTTAATAACATATTTTTTATAGATGTATATTATATTTATTATAATAGTTTTATTTTTTTATTTATATGTTAAAGATATGGAAAAAAAATTATATATTAAAATAAGAATTTATAAAAAACATAATTAAAAAAAGAATATATATATTATATTATTATTTTAATATTATTGTTATATATATAATAAAAAGTATGTATCTTACATTATTTGTTTTCTAATATTATTGTTGTATATATAATAAAAAGTAAATATGTTATATTATTGTTTTTTGATATTATTGTTATGTAATAAAAAATTATATATTTTACATTTGAATATTTATTTATATGTTAGTATATATATAAAAAAGCAAAATTTATATTTTTAAGAATATTATTAAATAGTTTAAGAATAATATTATTAAGTTGATTAATATTTCTAATGAAAAAGACAATGATTGTATAAATGTGCAGTATGGAATATTATCGGTATTATCGCAGTTGGATGTACGATAGAACATATCCAGGAAGAAGTGGACTTAAACCCAATTTTATAGTAGGAGTTGATGGGTTTATTAAGTGGGCGTTTGCTCAGGATTGTTGTCGAAGCGAAGGAGGGGTTAGATGTCCCTGTCTTAAGTGTGAATGTAGACCAATAATTAGTGACCCAGAGGAAGTAACACGTCATCTGCATAGAAGGGGATTCATTGAAAATTATTGGGTTTGGACGTATAATGGTGAAGAACTACCGGTTAATGTACCAGAGACTAGCAACACGCATGCTTCAAGTAGTCGACCGGTTATGGAGTATGAGGAGAACTTTAATTTGATCGGTGACATGGTTGAGGATGCTTTTGGTGTGAACGTGACATATGATGAACCTGAAGATTTTGACGGGGAAGAGTTGCCGAATGAGGAAGCGCAAAGATTTTATCAATTATTGAACGAGATGAATACGCCGTTGTTTGAGGGGTCGTCAGACTCGAAGCTATCAATGTGTGTGAGATTATTGGCTGCCAAGTCAAATTGGAATGTTTCTGATCAATGTTTGGAACATTTTGCAAAAATGATGTTGGACTCCACCGCTACGAAAGACAATTTGCCTACAAGTTATTATGATGCAAAGAAGTGGGTGTCGAAGTTGGGTTTAAAAGTAAGAAAGATTGACTGTTGCATTAACGGTTGCATGTTGTTTTATGACAATGAGTTTGGTACTCAAGATGGATCGTTAGAGGAGTGTAAGTTTTGTAATAGTCCAAGATATCAAGTTCGCAGTAGAGCCGTTAACAGCAAGCAAAAGCGTGTAGCAGTAAAATCCATGTTTTATCTTCCTATAATACCAAGGTTAAAAAGAATGTTTGCTTCAATGCACAGTGCAAGTCAAATGACATGGCATCATACAAACCAAACAAGTTCTGGCACTATGCGACATCCATCTGATGGTGAGGCATGGAAGCACTTTGATCGGACACATCCAGATTTTGCTGCAGAACCTAGAAATGTCAGGCTTGGATTATGCTCTGATGGATTTGCCCCATACGTGCAAGCGTCAGGAAGTGCGTACTCTTGTTGGCCAGTTATTGTAACACCTTACAACCTCCCTCCTGAGATGTGCATGACAAAACCATACATGTTTTTGACGTGTGTTATTCCAGGCCCGCACAGTCCAAAAGCCGGAATTGATGTGTACTTACAACCTTTAATTGATGATTTGAAGAAGATGTGGATTGGAGAATGGACTTATGATATATCCCGTAAACAGAACTTCACATTACGAGCTGCCTTGATGTGGACCGTTAATGACTTTCTAGCATATGGCATGTTGTCTGGTTGGGGTACGCATGGAAAAATGGGTGGTCCGCATTGCATGGGATACACCAAAGCATTTACGTTGGATAAAGGTGGGAAAAGCTCATGGTTTGACTGTCACCGCAGATTCCTACCAGCAAATCACCCGTATAGAAGAAACAAGACAAATTTTAAAAAAGATGTACGAGAGAAAGATTTGCCTCCGCCTCGATTGCCACCAGGGGTTATATGGAACCAAGTATGTGAACTACCAAAATTTACAGATACTGGGAAAGCATGCCGAATTGAAGGATACGGCGTCACCCACAATTGGACAAAAAGAAGTATATTTTGGGATCTTCCGTATTGGAAAGATAATTTGTTGCGCCATAATCTTGATGTTATGCATATTGAGAAGAATTGTTTTGAT